CTTATCACTCCTCTCTATGAAAAAACAACAGATCGCTCTCTGAGAATCACTTCTCACTGCCTCAGCCAGTAGCCAACCTATTGAAACTGTCCCACAGCCTTTATTGCTGTGTTTTCCTTTTCTTTTCATTATATTTTTAGTATAAGATAATGAAATCCTTTGTCTGCTCTGTCTAACTCTATCTGGCGTATATTGCGGCGGGCAGGTCATGAAGTAAGGCTCTGCTTTAAAGATTAGTTTTTGTTTTTTTTTACACTTATATTTCTTAAATAAACACTTTTCATAGTCTGACCCAGTAAAATGCAGTAGATTGCTTCAGTTTGTAGGGCATAGGGCAAATCTGCACAGTCTGGATCTGCTCACCCTTGGTAGAAAAAGCTCCCTAAGCACTACAGTCACTAACAGTGCAACCGTTGCACTGTTATAGAATGGAAAAGTCCACAATAGCCCTGTACTGTAGCTGTACATTATTGTTGAATAGTGTCATCTAGAATCTAAACTAGGAAGGTCAACAGTCAACAGTTTGGTTAATACATGTTATTATCATGATTATTAATGGCAACAGATAGCTAGCAAGGCTACAGTAGTATTTATAATTAGCTGAAGAAACGGCTATGTTTACATCTCCATGTCAACCCCATTAGCTCCATCTTCCCCTTACTTTCCTCCTCCAATGAGGCATTAGGATCTAACATATTGGGGCAGCAGCTGCAGGATCTGTTTATCGACTGGATTCTGTTTGTCATCCATTGAAATCTGCTCACTTGTTGAAAATTACAGCTTTTTGCTTTAAGATATTGCTTCATATAGATATTGGAAGCAGAAATAAAACATATTAATATAGATATGATTTATTTCTACATCCAATATCTATAAAATGTAAAAATAAAACATATTAATAAATATATATTTGGACACCATTACTGTTTATGTTTAGCATTTGCCACTAAATGTTGGTTTGATTCAGCTCTTTTTCTGATGCCTTTCAGCTCTGAAATGGTACAGAGCAAAGTGTGACATCCAGGCTGAAATTGAAGAGATGCAAGAGGAACAGCGCTCCCTGCTTTCTGTGGAAACACTGTCGGTGTGGAACCTGTTGCTGGATGAGTCAGTCCGCTGGCAGGTTCTCAGTGTGATGGTCATCAACATTGGCATGCAGTTGTCTGGGATTGATGCTGTAAGTAGGAACCTAAGAACATCTGTGTTTCCAGGAATTTGACAAAAAATCCACAGTTTTTAGTTACAATAGAAATAATCCCAAAGCTTTTGATCAAAGCTCAGTGTGCCAAGCAATTAGCTGTGATATTAATACCACTCAGGAAAAGAAAAGATGACGTGACAATGCTGTGACCTCTCCGGCTCACAAGGCTTCTCTGCACTCAGTGTACTCACACTAGATTTACAATCACACTTGATTTATTTCAAACTATTTTTCTCTGAGTATGTCAGGCATTGTAGAGACTGTTATAGATGATTTCATTCTAAATAAAACAGTATAGAAAAATTCAATTCAGTTTATTTCTATAGCGCCAATTGACAACACATGTCATCTCAAGGCACTTTACAGTTCACCAGATCATCCAGTCAGATTGATTCAAAGTTTTCTATC